ATTTACCACAAAGGTCAAAGTCTCTGTAAAGTAAAATATTCTTCCCTCATCTCGTTAAAAATTTTGCAGCCACTTTCTTGATTGTCATCTGTGATACTCTCTTCGTATTTTTAATAGAAATTACCTTCAATTTTCTAAAGGATAATTTTCTTTTATCCTTCACCAGTCTGTTAACCTTATATAGGAATGTCATTTCTATTTATAACTGAGTTAGTTTTTTTTCCTAACAGTTTTAGCTCTCTTCCATATTTAAACTTAAAACTCTTTGCTGTGTTTTTCCCCTAGACATCTTTAATCCACTCAAGGTATTTAATGTTTTAATGAAGCATTTCATTAAATATCAACATTAAATTTGCTTTATTCTTTTCTTTCCCCAAATACAATGTCTTAAGTCTAGTTTAATATTTTTCAGCATTTATGCTATTTCATATCTTATGAAATCTCATTCTAACACCTATAGTATTTTTAGAGAATTTTGTTAATATTGTTTAGAAGTGCTAATATTTAGCAAGAGTACCATTTTCAAGTCAGTGTCACAGTCTATGGCCTTACCATCTTTTATACTAAATTGGTCTCTGTTGAGCTTCTTATGTTCAAGTGAGCTTGTGTATGTAAAAGTGCTGTAAAGGTCTTATATGTCCTAATTTTTTTCTTTATCCTTCTACAGTATGTGTCCCTGCATGCTCACTTCTTTTTTGGAAATCTTCAGCCATGCTAAGTTTTTCCTTGCCTTGATGACTGAACGAGCATTTGTTCAGGTCTTTCTTGGTGTAAAGTCGTTAGTTAGTTTGTGCCTGTAAAGAATGCTGTTGTGCACTCTCCCTCTCCCCGTGTATACAAAGAATAACCACAGCATCACTGCCTTCTTCAAATATTTCCTTTGAAATCTGTCTACATTTTGATGCAGTCTCTAACTTAGCTCACTTTGGCCTTGAGTTCTGAAGCTTTTCTGAACCATTCTATACCTGCTCTGTATTCCTTCCTTGTTGCTTTATTCTTTTTTTTTTTCCCCTCATGCTGGTAACTTGAAGAGTTTACAGTGGTTTATGTCATTACTTTTTTCACTTCCTATCCTGCCCAGGACATTTATTTTTAAAGAGTTGCCTCACTTTAGAGCTTGAAACTGATGTTTTTGTGCTAGTGGTTTCTCTGTTACCCAGAGTGACTGCCCTTGATTTGGAATTGTGCTTTCCAGTCTGTCCCTCTGTGCAGGGTTGGTAAAAGAAGGCCATACTTGACTTTCTTTGGCTGACTTTATGATAAGGTGATGGTTTGGGTATCTTGGTGTCAGTGTGTAGGCAACCAAAGGAGTGTCAGCATCGTGGTAGGTGGTGGAGATATAAAGCCAAGCTGGGGTGTTGTGCCCTTTTATGGAGTTTATATTTTAGCAGAAGAGGCCAAAAGAAAAGATGACTCAGGTACACGATGATATGCACATTTAGATGGAAAAACAGGATGCTGGTACTCTAGGCCTGAAGAAGTGCACTTCATGCAGACTTAAGGGGACTGGGAAAGGTAATGATTCCTAAGTATTTGTGAAAAATCTAAAGAGGAGGCCCGAGATGTCAGGTGGAGGGAAGGGATTTTCTGGCAGACAGTGTATTCAAAGACATGGGTCTAGGAAGAGCGTATAAAAGCTGGGAGAATAGCAAGAAATAATGTGGATTTATGTATTGCATGCCTTGCTTTGATGCTTTTACCCCAGCTACATCCCAGGATCTTGGTTTTCCTTCTTTATGGCCATTTTTGGCTTTTTTCTGTCCATTTTCACTTTTACCTGAGAGTATACCTAGGAAATACTAAACCCAGGAGTTTAAATGTGGGTGGACCATTGGTAAAATTCTACTGTAAGCTCCACAGAGGCATGGAATGTTGACTGTTGTCGCCTCACCATCTAGTGCATTGCCTGGCACAGAGGAAATATGCTCAGTGACTATTTCTCTTATGAAAGGTGCCTCCTTTTCTGCCCCACATCTCCTCATATCAGTTCCTTCCTTCTTTCCTTGTTTAGTGGTTTCTCTTCTCTGTCAGATACGTGTCTAGTAGATCTACCTTTCTGCTTGCCCTGTAGACATGCTTGTCCTATAGATGTAGTCACTGGTCTCGGACATAACTGTGTTATAGTTGAACCTGTGTTGGTGTGTAACTAGGTGCTAATGGCTCCCTGAAACTTTTCTATCAGCGTTTACAGTATGCTAGATGAGGGGGGAGCCAAAGTTGACAACTATAAGAATGACATTTCTTTGAATTTTTTCATGATTTGTTGCATGAATTCATAGAAATGCTGAATCCTGTTCCATAATAAACTCTTGCATGTGTGTGTATATGTGTGTTTGTATATGTCTGTCTTACTTAACATTAAGCAAAACCAACATTCTGTGAAGATGTTTGCTTATTTATCATGTGGCTTCACACCTCCCCCCCCAACCCCAGATTATTGCTTAGGTCCCTCAGATCAGGAAGCTGGTTTTAAATGTGTTACCACATTGAGGTAAAATATTTGTCTTACAAAAAGGCTCTCTAGGATGCAATGACTTCACCAAAGAATCCACCATACAATAATAGTGGTTAGTTAGATGGAAGGTTTTCAAAAAAAATTGTTTATTTTTTATTTTTAGCATGCTGTAGTAGACTTTTAAATATCCTATCTACATTTTGGTAATTTCTCATGTTATGTGTCCTACTTTACCAGAAAACTCATCCCCAATCTCTTTTACAGCTAGGACATAGGCTTGTGACCTAGGTTTGTCCAGTCATTTATATAGAGTGAAACTTGTATATAGAGGAGAGCATTGTGAGGTGGCCATCATGTGTAGTGGAACTGATGACCTGGTGATCATGTTGACAGAGGTGTGTGGTTTTTAAGGAGTGGCAGTTGCAGAGTTTATGGAATTCAGTCCTGAATGGTGTTGGGGCCCAGCAGTGACAATACTTTTTGTTTGTTTGTTTTGTTCTTATTTTCCTTCCTATTCTCTGATCATTTGGGGTTTGTGTTAGATGTCTTATATTAACTTTGGAATATTGTCAACCATTATGTCTTCAAATATTTCTTTTGTCCCATTCTCTCTTCTGTTTTTGTGATTCCAATAATCAGTATGTTAGAATATTTGATGTTGTCCCACACCTCTTGAGTGTCCTGTTTTGTTTTTTGTTTTTCACTCTGTTTTCTCTGTGTTTTTGGTTGAGGTAATTTCTAGTGACTTATCTTCAAGTTTACCAATTCTTTCCTTGGCTGAGTTGAGTCTACTAAAGAGCCCATTGAAGGCATTCTTCATTTCTCTTAACTGTGTTTTTAATTTTTAGCACTTTCATTTTGTTCTTTCTTATAGTTCCCATCTCTCTGCCGAGTTATCCATTTGGTTCTGCATATTCTTCTTTTGGGTTAAAGGCCAAACGTGTAAACTTTCTAATGAAAATGAGAATTCTATGGTATTTCCAACATCTGATTGTATGTCTAGTTTGGATGTGTTGTCTTTTCTGAGTGTTGTTTTTTCTTTGCCTTTTCTTATGCCTTGTGGGTTTTTTTGTTGTTGCAAGCCTAACTTATTTTGTAGAACAGTAGAGAGTGACATGCACAATTTTTGTGTCTGTAAATGGGCACACCTTCCTTGTGCTTGGCCTTTAGTTCAGGGATTTGAGTTAATCTAGTTTGGAGTTGGGCTGGGTTTAAGTTTGGTTGTTGCTATGGTTACCCTCAGGTACCTCAGGCTTCAGATTCTCATAGAGGTAGCTTGTGATTAGGGTGGGAATTGGTTTCTTTTATTCCGAGTGTCAGGTCTTCCTTTAGGACTGTGACTTAGAAAGAGTCTCCTTACATACTCTTGGTCTTCTCTTGTCCCTCTGCCAGTATTATTCTGCTGTTTACTTGTTATTGGAAGTAGGTTAGCTTAGAGGTGAGGAGTGATGGTGAGGTGTGGTCTTTTGTTCTGATTAAACCTCAGGTTTAGGCCTGCATCAACATCCCAAGGTCTTGCCCCTCCCCTACCTATTGTGGGCTCAGTGTGGAATCCTGCCCCTCTCTTGGAGTAGGGCACCCACCCCTTCCCCCCAGCTGCAGTGAGTTTTCACCAGTGCTTTAAGGGTAGAAGGACATACTGGCCTTCCTTTCACAGATGAAGGTTTTTCCTCTAGCAGAGATAGGGAGGGAAGGATCTGGGTGTACATAGCTGCAGTTCCCTTCCCCCAGGTCTGCATCACAATGGGCTCCTCAGGGCTCTTCCCTCTCTATGAGTGCTTGGTGGGGTTGGTGGAGGAAGATCCTGTAGAAGGCTGGTGTCTCCTCAATTTCTGTGACCACCATTGGTTTCACACTGTTTCTTCAGCGAGCCACATCAATTTTTATCAATTTGCATTTATTCTAGCTGAACTCCTCTTGTCAGTGGCCAGTTGCAGTCTACCCCAGGTGAGCACAAGGTTGTCTCCTCTCTTTGCAGGCCCTGTCTCTCTGAAGATTTTGAGTCAACTGGTTGTTCTATGATGGGTTTCAAAAAAGGCATGAATTTGAAATTAGTCCAGCTCTTTTTCATTGTGTTCCTTCCAGCTTTCTTATTCCGGGGGGAAGACAGAAGTTTGGTTATCCTTAAAATTTTAACACGCTCATTTAACTAAGTCAGAGATTAATTATTCCTGTCCTCCCAAATAAGAGAGTGGCTCTTCCATTTTCGTTATTTATGTTTTGGTTTTGCCTTGTTGAATCCACCTTATACCTATAAAGTATTGAATATTTACTCATCAACATGTTTTCCAAATTTCTTTGCTCATCATTCTTTATTTACCCCATTTCTTGCTTTTGAATTTAGTTTCTGTCTTTATAAAGAATGTTTTTTAGTTCTTTTACTAAAGGCTTATTAGTTGTGAACTTGGTTTTGGTGTTTCTGCAAGTGTCTTTACTTCACTTTTTCTCTTGAATGATTGTTGAGCTAGGTTTAGAATCTATGTTCATTGACAGTTATTTTCCCTCAGCACATTGATAATGTTCTGCGGTTTTTTGTTTTTTTTTTAAATGTAGGAGACCTATGCTATTACTCAACCTCTACTGGAAGGTTGGCAGCCCTGAGAACTCCTTTGTTCTGCATTTTGACAGGTCTTGTTTGTTAACGAAGCCTTTAGTCAGTTCAGGTGTGATTTCTTTGTAGGTAAGTAATTATCTTTTCTCTTAGGCTACCTGTAAGATTTTTTGTCTTTTTGATCTTTTGCAGTTTCTTTGTGGTATTACTAGGTGTAGATTTGTTTTTATGTATCCTGCTTTTTATTTGGTGTAAACCATGAGGCTGAAGACTCCTGACACCTTCAGATGTGGAAAAAATTTGAGCTGTTACGTTATCTTTTTAAATAATGCTTCTTGATTTTCCATTTCTGGAACGATTATTTAGATATATGTTGGAGTATTTCATTGTGTCCTCCTTGTTGCTTGAATTTTAAAAAATACTTTCCATTTTTACTTCTGGGTAATTTCCTGACTCCTATCTTACAATTCACTAACTTCTGTTTAGCTGTGTCTGGTCTTTTGGTTAATCCATTTTTGGAGAATTTTCACTGAAAACATTTGACTATGTTTTTAAATGTAAAAATGTGTTTTCTTTCAAATCTGCTTTTTAATTTTCACGAGGACATTTTCTTGTCTTTTCTTTGGACATTTAAAAATATAGTTATGTTTGTCTTCTTTGTTTTTTTTTTACATTTTTTATTGATTCATAATCATTTTACAGTGTTGTGTCAAATTCCAGTGTTCAGCACAATTTTTCAGTCATTCATGGACATATACACACTCATTGTCACATATTTTTCTCTGTGATTTATCATAACATTTTGTGTATATTTCCCTGTGCTATACAGTGTAATCTTGTTTATCTATTCTACAATTTTGAAATCCCAGTCTATCCCTTCCCACCCTCTGCCCCCCCCAGATGTTTGTCTTCTTTGGATTGTTTTCTTAGCTGTCGTTCTTGAGGAATGAAATCTCCCATTTGTGTTGCTTCCAAGTTTTACTTGTTTCTTTGTGTGGTTTGCAACGTGTGACAGTTTGGGAATGGCCTGTACTTGGGTTGTGGGTAGCATTTGTCTCTGATGGACCCTTGGATTCACTGCTCGTGGAGAGTTTTGATCTATTTGCAGATGATGGATTTCTGACATCTGGAGAATGATGTGAATTTGGACTTCATATCTGCGGTAGAGCAAAGACTTGGATTTTCCCTTTTGCTTCAGTCATTTTGGTCACTCCTGCTCAAAGCCCTGGGCTGCAGTGTGTAGCTTTTCTTTTTTCTTATTCACCCAATTGTATCTCATAGCTTTCTGTTGGTGGTTCACTTTTGGCTTCTTTCTCATGCACAGACTTGAGGTATCTCCAGTTTCCTGGTCTCATAATCATCTGAGTTTGCAGCCCTTGGTTTAGAGGGCAGGAGTGAGTAGATCCTTTGTCTTGTGAAGAATCTCATTTAATAAGCTCTTGTCTTTGCAGCCACTCCTTTTATTCTAGTCTTCCTGACTGTTGATCAGGAAGTAGTTCATCCAATTAAGAACCAGGAAGTAGTTGCAACCACAGGCATCCTCTAACTTGAACAGATTATTTACCAAAAGTTCATTTAGATGTCAGTTTTGTTAAACACAGTTCCTATTATCTGATAAGAACCATGTTTTTAAAAAATGGGTTAGTTTCCCGGGTACCTCTCAGGAGTCTAGTCTTTTCATGATGCAGTTGAAATTCATATAGACTTGTGAGCTCTTTGGGACTGTAATCAGTATGTAGGTGATTTCTGTGAGGAGGTGCATTTTAACATTCTCAGTGAGAGAAGGGAGTATGTGGTTTACATCCTCAGTTGGTCTTCACTGGGGTGACCTGCTAGGACCAGTCCTTGTTACAAACCCTAGCCACTGTTCTCAAGCCTGTCGCTAGGTCATCACCACGTATACTCAGCACACAATCTTGCCTCCACTCCATTGAGAATATTAAGGGCCTTCTGGCTGATTTTTTCCAGCTTCTGGCACCATCAGTCCCTTTCTCCCCAGAGCTGCCCTTCCCCCTGTCTCAAGGACGAGGTGCTTCTGCTGCTGTTTGAGGCCAGTTCCTTGCCCGGTGCCTTTAGCATCAGTGCTGCTGCTTTGGAAGTGTTTTTTCATCAGTTATTTATTCCCCTTCTTCCTCCCTATCCTGTATCCACTGGTTCTCAACTAGGGGCAGTTTTGCCCCCAACAGGACGGTTAGCAACGTCTGGAAACATTTTTCTTTGTCATAACTGGGGCAATGGTGTATATGCTACTTGCTCCTGGTGGGTAGAGGCCAGGGATGCTGCTAAACACTTTACAATGCACAGCACAGCCCCTGACAGCAAAAAATTACCTGGTCCAAAATGTCAGTAGTGCTGAGGTTCAGTGACCTTGCTCTATCCTTAGAGTCTCTCTTTTGTTTCCTTTGCTTTTATCTGCCCATTTTCTTATTCCTAAGGTTCTTGTCCTAGAAAACCTTCCCTAAACTAACTGTCCACTCCTCTCCTAGCTGCCTAACCTCCTTTTCCCCTTCTCATCTAAACATCTGAGTGGTCTATACATAGTGTATCTACTTCTCACACTTCACTCTTGATCTCTGACTTCCCACTCTCATACGACTTAACTGTTTTTGCTGAGATTGCCTGTGACCTCTTGTGTGTTGTGTTTAGTAGATTCATTCAGTCCTAATTTTACTTGACATTTCTGTTTCACCTGACACTGTTAGTCACTATCTCCTTGAAGCACTGTGTTTCCTTGGCACCCTTGTTCTCCATGTCCTTCTCATGCATTTCTTTCTGTGCATCATCTGTGGGCTTTTCTCAGTCCACTCACTCCTTACATGCTGCTGTCACCTGGGTTTTACTTCTTGGCCAGCTGTTTTCCTAGGTCATTGTCTCAGTTACACCCAGCATTTCAGTTCTGCATACAGGCAGATGTTTTTCTAAATTTCTAAATTCTTTCCCAACTTTTCCCGACAAGCTTTCACACTCATTCTTAATAACCTGCTGGAAATGTACACCTGACTGTTTTGTAGGAACCTTATACTTAGCATGTCTAATATGAAGTACAGCATACTTTCCTCAAACTTGCTCTTCCTCCTTAATTGAAAAAAAAAATCTCTTAATGGTTCTACCATCCATCCAGGCTCCTAAGGTAGATAGTTGGGTCTTATCCAACTCAGACATACTATCTACAGTTGGTAGTGTGATATAAAATGTGATTTTGATCATAGAACGGATCTGCTTAAAAGCCTGCAGTGGTGCTCTCTTGCTGACAGAAGGAGAAAGGAGGAAGTCTGAATTCCTTTATTTGGTTCATCGATGAGGCCTGCCTACCTCTCCAGCCTCACATCTTTTCCCTGTTTGTCTCAAACACTGTGCCCTCCAGCATGTAGAATTCCCCAAATTCTGTTTGAAATGTGGTGTCTTTGCTTATGCTGTCTCCTCTGCATGGAACACAGTGTTTACTGTAGAGTGTGGGTCGCTAGCTCTCTGGGTGGTGGGACTCCCTATTCCTCATGGAAGCTACAGTTTATTGACACCTTTCCCCCACTTCTCTGGCCTCAGCGTTATTTAGGAGTATTCCTTGTCAGAGCCATCATTTTGTAAAGCCAGGACTGGGTAGATGCTGGCATCAGTCCTGCTGAAAGAGGGTAGGGAGTGGACAGAGGTGAAGGTATTTCATAGCTCAATTATGTGGTTTACTATTAAGCCATTTCTTTTTTTAGTCCTTACTACCTGTAGTTTTATTATCTTTCAAGGGTTCTTTTGGAAAATGTATCTTTTGGGGGAGATCTCTTTTCACCTACATGAAGTTGTGGGTTCTTTAGCTCTGTTGAGTTTTGCCATCCATTCAATCTTAACCTGCTTCACAGCTCCTTGGAATTCCTTACTGATCTGTCTTCTGGGAGCACTTCCTACATTCCCAAGGCTGCTCCAGGTTTACTTTTATATTTCTTTTGCTTATTGCAGTGGGTTTTAGTGTGGGAGGAACGTTACATATGTGTGTTTGGTCAGCCATTTTAATGTAGAACTAGTGTCCTGTGTCCCATGCAGCTTCTCCTTTTTCTCTATTGTAGCCATCAGGGCAAAGAATGTCTTTTCAAGTGAATACTTGTGTACATCTTTGATCATTTTCTTAGGACACTAGTCTTATATCCCCCTTGAGTACCACTGGGGGTGATAATAGGTGACACTGATGGGAATGTGCCACACCTGTGAAGGGTGTAGAGGAAACACTGCTGCTTTGCCTCAAGGGAAAGTTGCCAGTTAAAATGTTTATTATTTTGGCCATTCTTGTCAGCATTATTGTTTTATCTTAGATTAAAAAAATTACTTGTAAGGTTAAGGGGAAAGGGCAGGGAGGGGTAAATTAGGGGTTGGGGATTAACAGACACACATTACTGTATATAAAATAGATACACAAAGACCTACTGTATAGCACAGGGAGCTATATTCAGTTTCTTGTAATAACAATGGAAAAGAATCTGAAAAGAAAATATTTATATGTATGTATATATATAGCTGAATCACTTTGCTGTACACCTGAAACTAACATTATAAATCAACTACACTTCAATAAAAACTTAAAAAAATTGTAAGGTTGAATATTTGTAAAAAAATTTTTGTTGGTCATTTGTATTTTTCTGTGTATATTTCCTTTTCATGTTAAAGTTTTTTTTTTTTAATACTCTTACAGGGTTCACTTCATTCTTTCCCTTTAACATGCAATGAGCAAATGCTGCCAAATGTAAGGTCCATTGCTTATTTTTTTTTAGTCTAGATTTAGTATGATCTGATTTTTGGAAAATGAAAAAATCCACTCCTGGTTTTATGGTTATTAATACTTCACAAGGTGGCTGTGAAAATTAAATGAAATAACATAGATGAAGTGCCCAACACAGTACTTGATACAAAACAGGCAGCAGTAAATATTAGTTCCTTTTGTGCGTTCTTTCTCCTTTGTCAGATTATTAAAATAACTGCAGTACAACATACCTGAGTGAGAGGGAAAGAAAAAAATAATCACATGTGTTTACTGAACCCTTGTTAAGTGAAGGGCAGTATACCTAATGCCTTGAGGGATACAGAGATGTTTAAGGTTGCTTCCTGTCCAGGGATAAACATTAGCTTACTATATATATCTTTTCTAGGCTTTTTTTTTTTAGCATGCTGTTCTGAAAACCTT